TTTTTTTTTGTCAACGATCATATTGGTTGTCGGTCATTCATTAATAAATTATGACATATAATCACTTGTTTTCTTCTTTTAATTTTTTATTTTTTGATTTATTTTATTCTATTTTTAATCAATTTTATTTATGTTTTCAGTCTACAAAAAAAGTCTGCAATTGAACAGCACTATCGCAGTTGCTGTTTTATCACTGTTTCTTAGCATCGTCTGTCATCATCGTTGTCGTCGTCGCTGAAGAAAGAAAAGAAATAGGTAAGCAACAATCTCAATCTCTTATAAATTTTTGAATTTTTACTTTAGTTTTAGCCTATAGTTTTGGTAATTTCGCATTTATAGTGTAAAATGCTTGCTCAATTTTTTTATTTATATTTGCTAGACATCTGAAAATCTGTTTTGTTAAAAACAGAAAAAAATTTTTGTTTTATTTGTACTTCTGCAATAAAAAAAATTAGCAAAAGCGAAAGAAAGAAATTTTATTTTAGAAAAAATTTTAAAAACGGATATGACAAAAGTTTTTTGAACAAGTTTGATTCCTGTTGAATTTTTGAATAATGTCTAAACTTGAATCTGTTAACTGCCTGCTAAAATATTAGTTGTGTTTCTTCTGTCTTTTTCTTCATTTTTTTCTTTAATCTTTTCTTTATTTTGCTCCTAAGCGTCTTCTTTCCTTTCTTAGCATCTCGTTAGATCATAACAGATATGACGAAAAATGAGAGTAAAAAATTTTGGTAGATTTAGCCAACATATTAGTCTGTGCTAATCTAGTCCTGATCACAGTGTACTGGCCACTGGCTACTTCCAAGAATCGTCAGAATCTTCTTGATTTGAATAAGTTTTTCAATTCTTTTTCTTAATTTTATTTTTCTGTTTAGGCTTTCTCAAAAAATAATTTTTTTTTTAATTGTATGAGTAAATGTACTAAAACTGTAGTCACTGTTAGACCGACAGATTTGCAGAACTGAAGTTTAGGTTGACAAAAATTAATCACCTATCATATGTAATGTAATGAAGTGTAACAGACCCTTCAATTTCATCAACAGTTTTTTCTTTTCATCAGGAAAACAGTGATTTTATAAAACTCGTTCTGCAGCACGATTTGTTAACTTAATCCACAAGTTTTTTGTCACTACCAAATTGACTAGGTTTTCTTTTCTTTTTTATCTTGTTTTACAGAAGAGGAAAAGGTTTATTGTTTGAATTCAAAAGTGATACATAGCGGTTGCAGAGAGCGGACAGAATGAAATAATTTAAGAGAAAGAAATCCCACAAAGCAAAAAAAAACACCTGTTTTGATCAAAATATTCCTTTTTTTGTATTGTAATAAATTTTACAACTTAAACAATCATTTCATTTTATTTGAACATAACCTACAAATGTAATTTGAGTCAGGCAACCAAACGGTACAAAACTTAGGCTGACTGAATTTAGATTTACTGTCAACACTTCATTTTTCATCTGGAATTTCTCTGACGAAAAAAAAAAGAACAGGACATTTTTCACCCCACTTATTTGTTCTTATTTTTCGTGTCTTACCTTTTCCCCTCATTTTTGCTTCTGTTGTAATCAAGTCGAGCTCTTTTTTCAATAAATTAAATCGATAAAAATAACAAAGTTCTTCCTGTAAAGTAGAATATCTAAAGTGAAAAAAAATGGTCATTTTTGTAGATATTTAAACAATATAAGCCATA